GGCTGCCGCTGGCTTCCCCGGCAGCGTCGCCGGCCGCGGTGCGCCGTGCCAGATGGCTGCGGCGTCGTTAATGACCGAGGAGCTGCATCGATCCACGGGCCGCGCTTTCTGCGGTAAATAGACAAATAAATAATGATCCCAGCTCGAACTGTTAGCCTGGTGAAGCCACGGCAGCCTCAGTCCTTAAGTGTGAGTCACATGGAAGGTAAGGCTGTTGTTTAACCAGTCTGACGCTCAATTTCTGTTTTCTTTCTTTTTTTTTTTTTTTTTTTTCCTCCCCCACCCTTTTCTTGAAAAGCGAGCGAGCAAGCTGAGTTAAACGTATGGATTCCTATTGTTAAGAAGTATGCTTGCTTTCGTTTCACTAGGTCCTTGAGTGGAATTAAGACTACTCCCCTCCTGTCCTCCCCTGCAATGCAGACGTGACCTAAAGATGAACTGAGTTTGCTTAGTGGCACCGTGCGTTTCAGTTGAAATGAACGTTGTCGGTGCTTTCATGAATGTTAACTGAGGTTTATTTGCAGTGCGAACCAGAGGAGTGCTTCAAACCAGCTAAAACTGCGTGCAACTGTCATGATGCAGGGCTGGGGTTTGGTGACATAGAGCTGTGCCGTTAGTCTGGCTGGCTCATGTTTTCTATGCTTACACCTGTTTTTCCCTCTTTCTGTCACAAAGGTTGCTGTTAAGGGTATCGAAAGAGAGCTCATCTGCCCAGCATGCAAAGAATTATTCACCCATCCAATGATCCTTCCTTGCCAGCACAATGTCTGTCACAAATGTGTGAAAGAAATTTTCTTTGCATTTGAAGACTCTTCCGCTGATGGAGGCTCTGAGTCCTCTAATCAGAGTAGCCCTCGAATTAGAATCTCTTCTAGCATGGACAGAATTGACAGAATTGGTAGATCAGGTATGTATCAGAATTTTTGTTCGTTTTCCTAATTTTATGCATTGGACTGACTTGAGCTGGATTGTATCTGCATTGGTAAAATGTCTTCCCAGTACTCCTGACCTGCTTAAAAAGATGACTTAGGCATAGTGCAAGTCTTGTTCATTCTGTGGTAAGAACAATGGGATTATCTCTAAGGACAATGCACTTCATTTCACATATAATAGATTTGTCTTTGTGGCATCCTGTGAATTCTAGCCATTTTATGTGTTTATTACTGCATTTCAATTACGTCGAGATGCAATAGCGTCATGTTCAATAGCATTGAGATGTAGATTTCAGCAATTTTATTGCCTGTCAGTAGTACTGTTGAGGTGGTTCTTGCAGGTTTTGGCCAGCCTAAATTCAGTAGTTCCAACTTCCTTCTGGGCCTGTGCGGACTTTGCAAATGATAGTTTTATCCTACCCGTTGCATTATGATTACAATAAATAATTTTCCATAGGTGATGATCACTGCACGGTTGCAGAGCTGGAGGACAGATGACTGTAAGAAGACTGCGCTAACAGTCTCTTGCAGCATGGTCTGCTTGAAGCTTTAAGGAGCGCTTAGCTGTAGGACTCCTCATGCTCTTTGTAATATCACACTAGAAAGATTCTTACAGCTGTCTATGTAATCCACGCATGAGCTGATCTGCTTTTACACAGATACATCAAAAGTACTTTGTGCATGCTATACTTCTTGAAGGAAACCTCATCTTAGCTTTTAGGCTTCCTTCTGACAAAATTATCCACTTCAAAACCACACTCTGTTGTGCACTGGAAGAGTCACCCACAAGACAAACCCTAAAGCTCTATCTTGCATTTCATGTGTTACTAACTTTCATCCTCCCCTTCCCAGTTTTCGAAGTTCAGCTGTTTTAAAAGTTCAGGTGTTTTATTTCACCCACTTCTTTTGAACAACTCCTGAGTTGTTAGTACTGGTAAGTCTTTCAAATCAGTTTGATCAGTGAATGCTGTGTCTGCTGCAGCTTGGCTAGTTGAGGCTTACTTAATCATTTGAGGAAATCCCCAAACCAAATGGCTAGTTATCTTCATTTCAGTCCTGTTTTCTGGATGTGGAGTGCTGTTTAGCTCTATGTGCACTGCAGCTGCTTTCTAAGCCCTCTCTAGCAGTGTTACATGAAGCTTGAATGAAGGGAGCCTGCTGGTGACTGCCTTCTCCTGAGTCTATTCCCGTTTTTCCTCAGTAAGCATAATGTTATGGCACGGCATTGTATGCATGGACTGAAGTAGTCACTGGTTTCCACTGCAGCTGTCAGCTTTGTGTTTTTACAATGTGGGCATTGGAGCACCAGGTTGGGTGCCTGGGGAGTGATGGATGCACCATTGGTGATCTGACCTCCCTGTGAAAAATGTGGCTTGTCCAGTGTGGGGGTATTGGACAGGCTGTGTGTGGGGAGCAGACCCTCCACGCTGCCTTCAGCAGTGTAAGTGAGGAGGTAATGCTTTATTTCCCATCAAAAGCTCCCCTCCAGCGCTCTCTCCATCAGGCAGCAGATGTAGAGATGTAGAGATCTAGCATGACATAGCCTGCATGTGGTGCCATGGCACAGTCCGCCCCATGCTCAGAGGAGGCAGAGCTCCCTTGGGAACCTGACATTTAATTACTACTAGATTTGCAGAGTTCAGTTGGCAGTGCTGCTGTAGTTGTTGGCTGCTCTTCTGGCGATGTTTAGTGTTTCTGCTTCCTTATGCCCTTAATGGCAGGGCAAGAAAGAACCGTTCTTGGTACTACTGTCTTCACCCAGGATATATGTGCGCACAAGTTGTTGTAGGGGTTGTAATATTTGAATCCACAGTAGTCTGCCACTGTCCCAGAAAACTGATGGGAAGTTATGTGTGTTATCTCCTCATCTGACCTGCTATTAGAGGAAGATGAATGCTTTCTTAAAAACTTCATACCTGTTTGAGCAGCAAGAGAGGGTTGAGACCTGGAAGTAATGGACTTCCCCCCCTCCCCCCAGAGTGTTGGGCAGGTGTGCATCACAGGAAAATTACTGTCTCAGACAGTTCAAAATTGCGAAATGAAAAGTGTATGGAAATAGGAGCTTTAAAGAATACATTTGGACATTCAGGTTATACTGTGTTTGCTTCTAGTGTTACAGACGTTATAGCTCCATTGCTGTGCGGGTGTGATACTTGCTTTCAGATGTTTGGTAATGTTTAACCAGCTTACAACTTACATTTGTACAGTTCCTGTCTTGCCTCTCAAGTACCCATACTGTGTGTTGCCTTGCTTAATGTGTTTTGTGATCCTTAGAGGAATTTGTAATAAAACAGCTCCATAAGGGAGAAAATGTACAGGAAAGCATCCAAGGTGGGGCCTCCCATGTATAACAAAAAACCACTGGAATTTCTGGTAGGCTTATGAAGGGCATGGCATTGTCAAGACATTATTTTTGTATTTGAAAATGTATATGACACCTTCCTTATGCTGTGGCTTTTCCTTTTTTTTTTTTTTTTTTGCTGACTTAAGGAATCCCTGCTATCTCCTAGAGGAGTATCATCTATTTTAAATGATTTTGGCATTTGAATTCTTGAGATGCCAGATGGAGCTGGTCCACATTCTGTATTTGTTATGCACACACAGCTTGCATTTACAACTTACCTTAATGTAAAGAGGCTGGAACTGGTAGAACTCTATTTTTCAGTTGAAAGGGAGAGCATGTGCTTCTTAGAATCTAATGTGTTGGTTTAAAAAATCCACTGCTTATGTTATATATAAAACAGCTTTTGATTAAAAGAAAATACACATATAAAATGAAAATAAAGGGTATTTCTTATTGCTTATCCATTTTATGTAATGTTAGTGCAGTTACAATGTTGGTGTACTTGGAGTAAAGTGTGTAATGTGGTTATATTGACACTTGTGCAGCACTGACAGATGATGCAGAAACAATGTTTGAAATATCTGCCCCTGCACCCCCGCCAATCTCTTCCTTCTCCCTTTTTCTGTTCTGCTTAAATACTGCGGTTGTTTCATGTGCTAGGAAATAAAACATTCTTGCCTTTCAGCCTTGCAGTAGTTTTAACAGCCACAGGAGAGAAAACAATGCTTTTCATTTGAACCATTGTAAAACAATGGTATATTTCGTCTTTTGATATCTAAACAGCTTTCTGTTCATTGTTCGCAGCCTCACAGAGGAGGTCTTTTGGGTGGAGAGGTAGAAAACCTTCACTTCTTGTATTGGCTAGAGATAGTCTAGCATTTAGATCTCAAGTTAAGTATTGTTGGTTAGCATATAGCTTTTGTCAGTGGTCAAGTCCACAAAATGGCTTTTGCAGTGAGCAAAGGTACAGCAAAGGACTGCTGTAAGAAAAGCTTTTCATTCTGTTTAACACTGACTTAAAGGTCAACTGTACTGGAATTCAGTTAGGTATTGGATTATATTTTTTTCTTGCGTGTATGCATGAGTGAACATACATGTGCAGAAACGCACGCTTTTTCTTTGCTCTAAAACAAAAAACAACAGTCACACCCCCACACCCCCGGCCTTTTTAACTTTCAAGAGTTTATGTGTTCAGGTTTCAGTAAAACTGCTGTCTTGCTGATAGTGAAGTGTAATTATTAGATTGATCTTTGTAACATTGAGAGGTCATGGTTGGCCATCACTTTTAAATGGAAGGTAATACTGCTTCTTCATTGTATCTGAGCCTGCTTAATTTGATAAAGAAGCAGACTGAAATTTACACCCTGGTAATCTGAGCAGGTAGTTCTGGATCTGGCAGTTTAGCACAGCACAGGAATATATGAGGAAAGTGAAATATTTTAAATTGATACGCTTGTAAAGTTTGATGTGCTTAGTGACACAGTCACGTTGAGGGATAGCCAGTGTCTTTGTTCTCAGTATTTGATTTCCCAAACTGAGCTAGTCTGAGCATCTCGGGCATTGTGTGGGCTTGTTAACGTAAGTATTTCTTTTTTTGATGTAATGCTCTGTCAATAATTGAAAAAAACCCAAAGCTCCATGATGCCATAATATTGGCAGGCACACGAACAATCCATAGAAATACTGTGTCTTTCAAGAAAGACGTGAACTGAGCTAAACACAAATCTGAATTTCACAATTGGAGGACAAAGCACCTAATTGGGAGTTTAAATTGCCTCAGTTGAAGACTGAAAGTGTCTTAAAATGAAGATATGGTAGGACTCTCTCAGAGCTCTTGGTAAGCTGTCCTTATCTGTGCTTTTTGCTTCTCTTTGACTTGGAGAAGATTAAGTATCTGAAAGTGACATTTTGCAGCTACTGACTTCTCTCACTTTTTTCTCTGCCCAAAAATCCATCCAAAAGCATTAACTGAATTTGGGCGAGAGGTGTGTGTGTGGGTGTGACAATATATATTTATATATTTTTTTAGAACTCTTATGAGAATCCAGTTGACTTTTAAAATCTTTATTTTTTTTTGAACTCTCGAACATTTAACTTCTGTGTCATCCATAACCATAGAATTCTGGTGATACTGTTTACTTGGAAAACACAATTTTATCTTTAAGATGTCTTATCCCTTGCAAACCATCAGCTGCAGGTTGAATGTTTCAATATTTTAAGTGTTGGTACCTCTTCTTGGGAAGAGGACATTTAAACATTGTCTTTAAAACACATACCTAAGATTGCTCTTTGACTTGAGTCTTTGCAATCTAAATCCTAATATTTGTGAGTTTGGAGTCTAAGCATGAGTATATGTGTGCTAATTTTTAGTTACTGATTGAGCTATTCATTGCAAGTGGAGCAGCCTGTTTACAAACCACAGTGGAAACTTTTCTTGTGGCGATTCCTAATATTTCACAAAATATGTAGTTGTTTGTTGTAAACTGGATTGGCAAAGCGTAAAAAAAGAATATGGGGAGGACCTAACTTTCTCTGAGCCACACATCTTATAAAATCTGTGATTTTTGCTGCAGTGTTTTTTAATATATATTTTTTTATATATATATAAGCAGGATTCAGTTTTGGTGAACTGGACACAAGACAGGTAGGAAAGATAGTGCTCCAAGTAATTTATCGCTTCATCAGTGCTTTCTTTTTCGAGTGAATATAGAAATCCTGTAAGCAGGAAGCATACTAATTCTGACTGAATGTTAATATTTTAACACTCACTAAGTAAAAAGAGAGTATTTCTATACTTCAAATATTGAAGTCACAGAGCACATAAAGAAGCTTGTAAACTTCCTTAGCAAGTAAACTTCCAGGGTTTAAAACAAGGGGAAAAAAACCAACCCTAGGCTCTTAGAGTGCTGTCAAAGAAAAGCGATGAGACATCTGAAGGTGCGCAGGATTTCCTTGCTATGGGTTTGCTTTCCGTAAGCAGAGTGTCACCAGTCTTCGCAGAGCATGGCTCATGATGACAGTCTCGTTTCAGTCCACCACGGGCAGAATGAAAGGCCTCCGTTGGGATGCACCTGAACTCACCTTTGAGTTATAAAAACACCTTCCATGTTTGAGCCGCTTAGGCCAGACTTCAAAAGCATGCTAGTGGATACAAATTCCTGATTGTACTTTTAAACTTGACCACTGCACCATGTTTTTTTTCTGGTTATCTTGCTTTGTCATTGCTTGCTCTCTGCTATAGTATACTGCTTGTAGGCAGTCTGTGTACATACAGCACTGTATCACTATTTTTTTAGTTTTAGCGAATATAAGTACTCCATATCCCTTTCTGTCGTTGTTGACTGCATGGCATTGCATGTAAAAATCATCTTTTTGTTTAGGCCATTGTGGAGGTCTGTGTAGAAGATGTCTGTGTTCCTATGTGCAGTGCTAGCTTGGAGCATACATTACAAATACAGTTTGTATTTCACTGCTGTTGCTGTGCATTGCATGTGTGTGTTGCTGGGTATGCCAAGTTACAGGTACTGCAGGACATTTGGGTAATTAATTCACTTCAAGTAAGTACTAAAAAAAAAATAAAAATAAAAATTAAAAAATCTCTGCTTCTCTTAGTCAGAGGGTTGTATACCAGTGCCTTGTCACCCATACTGTTAATGCAGTCTAGTTGTTCTGCTCAGCACCTACAGAAAGGCATGAGACGAGCTGAGTTTGAGACTGCCAGCTTGTACACGTTTATTCATGCTCTGTTGTGGCTTCTTAGCTGGCATGCATAACCACCATGAGGCACACTTTGAAGACTGAAAGAGCTTTTTGGGAGTGTTGGTTTGCTTTTTTTTAAGAGACTAGAAAGGGCATGATAGGAAAGGAGGTTTTGGATTGTTGGGAGAAGGAGCCACAGAAGAGCAGCAGCATAAGGGAAGTGTCTTTTGGATAGCATCAAAGGACACTTCAAAAAGAAATGAAGCATCAGCATTTCTGATGAGAAGATACTGGCTAAATAAGGAGGAGAACAAATTGCCCTTTCTGAAGAAGAACCAATTTCAACACTAAGACTTTAAGTCATACCTTCATTTACAAATTTGTTAGTTATACCAACGTGCAGTCTTCTTGAAAGGATCTTAAAACCAGCCTCCAGCTGCAGAGGATTTTTTTTTTTTTCTTTGTAAAGGCAAGCTGAGGAGATACATGTTAAGCCTAAACAGTGGCTTAGCCTGCTTTAGAAATACATAAAGGACTCTCTTTTTTTTTTTTTTTGATAGTTGTACCCTGTGGGTTCATGAGATGTGGGGGTGCACTCCTCAAGAACACACCCTGTAAATAGCTTTTGGGTCTGTGTGAGCAGTCCCCTTGAATAGGCTCCAGAAGCTCCTTAGTCTTCTGGCTTTACTTGAGCCTTTGGTCATTTTATTTTGGAGAGAAGGGGGAATTTGTGCGTAGCTGTTTGGTTGGAGTGCAGCTTCTCAGCTGTCCTCTTTTGAAATGAAAAGAGACATACCCTGTGTAACCGTGCAGATCTGCGGTTACCCAATTCAGGATAGAGGAATCTCGGACATAACTGTCTCGGCATCCCCTTTGGTGTGCAGGCCTTACTTAGCAGCCCTCCTTTATCAAGGCCGTTCATCAAGGGCCAGGTCAGCCTCTGCAAATTTTGACTAAATGATTTGGCTGAGATTTCATGCTGGTAATATCCTAGTTCTCTTGTTTTCCTCTGTATTTTTTTTATGATGCCTCTTGGGATGAGCTGGATAAGTTTGGCTCGGTCAAAGCAAACTTCAGGGAGCTCAGAGTTGGCTGTATTTGTCTGAGAATAACTACTCTCACTCTGGGAATAAGCATCTTTCACTTCAATATATTACAAAGCTGTTGCTCTCTGTAGGCAGCCAGTTAGCCTAAAACCAGCTGGTTTCCGGAAGATTTTGTGTTCAGTGTTTTGAAAGGCTGCAGCTTGAGTGCATCCAAAACTAGACAGGATTGTAACAGCTAAGTTCATCTTAACATAGATTTAAGTTTTAGAGTACTAGTTTGTTATGTCCCCTGGACTCAGACATTACACTACCTTGTCATGGCAAATGTATTCTCTTTGGCTTGGCAGACTGCATATGAATTAGTATTGTACTGTTTTGGACAATGTGCTACAATAATTGGAATTGGTTAATAAATTGCTTCTCTCTTTCAAATCTAAACCTCTTTATGCTCTTCCTAAATCAGAATTTGGTATCTACACAGGCATAAAACACAATTCGCTGACTCATCGATTGAGTCTGTTTCGTTGTCCACATTGTGAGAGGAATATTGATCTCGGAGAACGTGGCATCAATGGCTTATTTCGCAACTTTACTTTGGAAGCTATTGTGGAAAGATACAGGCGAGCAGCTAGGGAAGCCGTTGCGATTAGGTGTGATTTCTGCAAACCTCCACCTAAAGAGTCCACAAAGAGCTGCGTGGACTGCAATGCAAACTATTGCAACAAGTGTTTCAAAGTACACCATCCTTGGGGATCTTTGAAAGCCCAGCATGAATCTGTAGGACCAACCATGAACTTCCGACCCAAGGTAAGTATACGGTATCTTACAGAAATTGGATTGTGTTATTTGCATATAGCTTCAGATGTAGCTGTGCAGTGGTAGTTGCTTTCTGGGACCATTGTTGCTTTATCGGCTATTGCTCTTATTTCTTGAGTGAACCATAAGCTTTTCTTCTGGTTGATGGTGAAGTTGTGGTTGTTGAAGAGGACATTGAGAACTTATTTGAAGGGGATCGTAAAAATAAGGATTTTTTACTTTTGAAAAATGGATTATGTTATTTGTGATTTGAGTCTTTTTCTTTTTTTTAGAAGACGATCCTGAACATCTAGAATGGCAGTGCTTTTCTCTAAAGGTCAGGTTAAGGAGGATGCCTGTGTGCAGTAAACTTAAAAGCCCAACACAACTGGCCTGCCTCCCCCCCACCCCACCCCCTTAAGGCAGGTTCCATTTGGATGTTTTGTGCCTCAACTTGATCCATCACAAAGCGCTTTCTTTTTCCCCTTCTTCCTTGCATCTAGCCATAGCAAAAGGTGGAGTTCAGGTCTCCATTGTTATTACACCCTGTTATCTTTTTAGCTATAGCAGAAGAGAGAAATGTAATGGCAAGTTTTCTGCCTTACATCCTCCTGCTGCTGCATGCAGACAAAACAGTGATCGTAAAGTGCTGTTACCTTTGTCCTGCTAAGCGTTGTGCAGAACAGGGTAGTGCCTTCCTGAATTTAAGTTACATGATCGGAGGAGTTGTCACAGCTGCCATCTCTCTAACGGGACCATAGTAGGTCCCAATATCCCAGCACTTGCTGCGTGCCTGTGGCCAGTGACCTCACTGAAGGACCCGCAAGTATGGAAATCCTTATGTTCAAGGAGTCCTGATTAATTTTGATTAAATTATGTGAATTTTATTAATGTCCAGTGCATAAGAAGCTCTTAACTGGTGGTGTGCTCTCTTTCTGAGGCTGGGAAAACTTGAGCCTCAAAAGTTAGTGAGCTGGCAGATACTGGACATCCAGAAGTTCACATAGGCCATTTTTGTTGGGTCTAACCCATTTGTTCCGGTTAAGAACAAGCATGTGCTTGATGAGCTTTAAAATGTGCTAGCACACAGCTGTCTTTGAAATGTACCTTTATTGGATATATGAGTCGGTAAGTTGCATGCGGTCTTCCAGCTCTTGAGGTAAAATGCTGTACAGCTGCTTAAAACTTTGCTTCTGTGGTATCTAAACCGTCACTGCTGCAGCATTGCTACTTAAAAATACCAAAGATATCTTGTGATCCTTGTGTACTCTTAAAGGTACCATATGTTGTTACACTACTTGCAGACTGAATTTGGATTTAAAAGTTAGTAGTTAAATTCTGTTGAAGCAGAGCAGAAGGGGGAGAAGTGGTTTAGGTCATCCTGACCTTGATATATGAAGTGTGTGTGCATGTGTGAGATGTAGGGTTTTTTTTTTCAGATGTGAAGGCAGATGTACTGTTTAAAAAAAAATTCTTAGTATAGTTAAATCAACTATAGATACCTGCTTTGCAGAAAAACTTCCCAACAGCAGTAAACTGATCCTTACTGTGCTCTTGTAGAGACTTTTCAGAGGACTGTTAATATAAGCAAAGTACAGTACATTTTTCATTGCACTGCATTATTAAGACCTGAACCGAATGCATGGAGTATTTGCTGGTCTCTTAAACGTTGTTCCCAGTCATCACTTTAGTTTACAACCAGACTAGAGAGCACTTTGCAATGGATGTGGCAGGGATGGGAGAAGCACGTACTGAGATAATTGTTCTTGAATTTGAGAGAGCTAGACAAGGTATCTGCTGACCTTTTCTGTCTCTAGCTTGCAGGCTGTAATTCTTCCATATATGAGAAGATATGTGGCTTCTGTTAGGGGTGACTATGAAAAGCTGTGGATTCTCTGACACCCCCCTCCTCACAGATCAAGCAGTCAGTGACAACAGAATAGCATATCCCATATGCTGCTTAATGATAGTCTTATGTACCAAGGTGCTTGTGAGACTGGTGTCTTTGGGCTTTTCACCATAGCCTAAGATAACATTTGGGGCTTGAGAGTTGGTTTTGGAGATGGTCTGCAGTTTTAGCTTAGTGTGTCCATATTTATGCTAATCATGATTTTCTATTTTTGTGTACTTTCCTGTCCTCTAAAAGATTATACTTTTAAAGCTTGACTTGGCACTGCTGACTTGTTCTTCTCCTTGACATTAAACTGAAAAGCTTTCTCAAGAGCTCTCCTTTGGTGACATTGACTAGAGGGACCCAACCATTGTTGTCTTCAGTGCTCTGGAATGAGGCAAAGCATTTTTTCTTTTCCTGATACCCCACCCCCTCCCATCTCCCCTTTCTGGATGGCTTTATCTCTTGCTTGAGCTTGGGAGTTGAGCAGCAAGTTGGTTTTTTTTCCGCCCCTCTTCGAGCAGTTATTTCCATGTGTTCAATCTTTGAAAGCTGATTTTTTTAGTGAACTCCACTTTTTTGCAATGCTGTTTAAGCTGATACTTGAATTAGCGCTTGGCGTGAACAACTTGTAATTGGAGTCAGACAAAATTGAAAGACTGGAGCCTTTTGTCTTCATAATGACTGTGACTGGTGGTGGCGGCTGCATTTTGTTTGTAGCTCGAAGAGCAATGGCTATGTGGCTGATTGGACTCTAGCTTAGACTTAAATCATTACAGTATTAAGTCAACTCTTGCTTTAAGAAACAATTCATAGCTGTTTCAAGAGATGCTGACATGGACACGATTACGTTTGACGAGGCGGGTGTGTTATTGTGTTTACAGCTCTGAACAGGAGTGTTAGGAGCTTGAGGCATGGAAACAACTTCAGGAATTAACAAAGTGGTCGATAGCAATATGGAGGCTACGTGATGTGTACATAGATGTTGCTACAGGTTTACTCACTGTAAACCTTATGAAACTGTGTGTGTTCATCTGCTGGCTTTCATTTGCATGGACAAATTTAGAAGGTGGAAGATAGACTGAATGTAAAAAATCCACTGATGAAATCAGACGCTGCTGGGGGATGATTGAGTGTTTTAATGTTTTGTTGAGCACCTCAGTTTTTGGAAGTATACCTACATTCTCTCTGCTGTCATTTTTTTTCAGATTTTGATGTGTCCAGAACACGATATGGAGAGAGTAAATATGTACTGTGAAATCTGCAGAAGGCCTGTTTGTCATCTTTGTAAACTGGGTGGAAGTCATGCAAACCATAGGGTAACAAACATGAGCACTGCCTACAAAACCCTGAAGGTAAAAGTTAGTGCTGCTGAACTTAAGAATAATGATCAGCTGGATAAAGAGGAGATTCCCCCTGGCGGGAAGCCAAAATGAGTGTTGTTGTGCAAGGTCTGTTAATGTATGTATTAGTGTGACATAGTGCACATCTGAAAAACTAAACTGTATTTTCTATGAGGCTTGAAACATAACCCGTTAAAAAAGCTTTCACCTTAGTGATGACCAATGCAGAATGTTTAAGCAGTTAGCCTGTTTAAGATAAGTGTCTTTGTTGCTTTGTAGAACACTTCAAATGCGAATTTTTCAGGAGTGCTTCTGAAGTACCTGTTGGGATCTCGTGTATTTCTGAAGTTGTGTAACTGTTAATTCCTTAAGCGCAGTGCGACATGAAAGACTTTGCTTTGTTACTACAGAATGATAGCCTGTGCCTTCTCTTTGTTTTATTGCTCACAGAAGAAAAAAAAAAAACAGACCCGTCTGCCTTGTGCTTTTTGACCTCCTTGCTTGTTTGCAGGGCTTTTCCTCTACAGCTGTTAGCTCTTGCAACTAAGGAAGTGCAGAGACACTCATAAGTTTGTACTTTGACCATTTTTCTAGCAAATATTATTACAAATGAGTTAATAACTAACAAGGGTGAAACAAAATTCAGAGCTTCCAAACCCCCTTGCTTTCTAACGCTCCTCAGCGAGGTGTGTGGCTGGGTAAGGATTCTGAGATGAAAACTCATAACAACAGAGTGTTATTAAGCAGACATTCTTTATTGCAGCACTGGGGATCGCTCCACCACTAGTGCTCCGCCAGAGTGGTCTCACAAAGTAGGTTAAGTACAGTTTTAACTCGTGAATATTCATTACATTTCTCAGAACTAATTATAATATTCAGTACTTTCCTAGAACTCATTACTTTATGCTAATGATTTTGGAACATGTGCAGTTAAATTATGGTAGGGGTCTCTTCTCCCTCTGGTGGTCATCCATAGTCTTCCTCATATTGTCCTTTCTTTAAGCCCAACCTGCACGCATGCTCAACTGTCCTTTGAACATTTTTTTGTGTCCCCTAGTCTTGTGCATTACTTGGGTGTTGTTCCAAGTTCCTCTTGTTTACATATGTCGGTATGTCTATATCTTCCAGACACCAACGATCACACAAACTGTTCTTTCGTGACACACACTATTAAGTTCTCTATATCTTAACTGGTAAAAATATTATTCTCTATCAAACAATATAAACTACAGACAGAGGGTATAAGACCATATGGTTCTAAAAGACTAAACTAAATAGTTTAAAACAAGCGGTCTTAACATGGTAAATACAAGAAACTCTTAGCTCCTATCATCAGGGCAAGAGAAAGAAGAAATATTTCATGTCAAAATAGCTGACCCAAGATAGCTGCTTTAATGCAGAAACCCAGCAAGAAGAATGCTTTTACCTAGGTTTAAATCTTAGCCCTGTCAAGGGCTTTTCTGTAAGTTTTAGTAATGTCGTGAAGCCTCATGTTCCTAGCCTGAGAGAGAGTGACTCCTGTGGCTGGGGAGGAATGAGCCAGCTGAGGCTATTACCTCTTGTCTTTAGCAGTGATTCCCCTGCAGCCTGTGGTGAAGACCATGGTGAAGCAGGCTCTCCCCCTGCAGTCCATGGGTGGTGGAGCAGATAACTGCCTACACCCCGTGGAGGGCCCCCACGCCGGAGTAGGTGGATGCCTGAAGGAAGCTGTGACCCTGTGGGAAGCCTGCAACAGAGCAGGCTCCTGGCAGGACCTGTGGCCTGTGGACAGAGAGAAGCCCACCCTGGAGCAGGTTTGCTGCTAGTGACCCCATGGGGGGGACCCATGCTGGAGCAGTCGGGCACACCATGAAGGAGATCCACATTAGAGCCTCCTCTCTGAGTTAACTGGTAATAAATTATATTTTCCTGAAGTGGAGTCTGTTTTGCCCATGATGGTAGATGTTGAGTGATCTCCCTGTCCTTATCTCAACCCCACAAGTCTGTTATTTTTTTTTTCCTCTCCCCTGTCCCGTTGGGGGAGTGATAGAGTGGCTTTGGTGGGCACCTGGCATCTGGCCAGGGTCAACCCACCACACCGGTCAAATCAGTGAATGATGATGAGAAATAAAACCAAATCTTGAAAACACCTTCCCACACACCTCCCTTCTTCCCAGGCTTAACTTTATTCTTGATTTCTCTATCTCCTGCCCCCAGTGACACAGGGGGATGGGAATGGGTGTTGCAGTCAGTCCATCACACATCGTTTCTTCTGCTCCTTCCTCCTCAGGCAGAGGAGTCCTTAAGCTCTTCCCCAGCTCCAGTGTGGGGTCCCTCCTATGGGACACAGTCCTCCATGAACTCCTTCAATGTGGGTCCTTCCCAGGGGCTGCTGCTCCGGCATTTGTCCCTTCCATGGGGTGTGGCACTTAGGAACAGACTGCTCCAGCGTGGGTCCTCCATGGGGTCACAAGTCCTGCCCACAAACCTGCTCCAGCCTGGGTTCCTCTCCATGGGTCCACAGGTCCTGCCAGGAACCTGCTCCAGCATGGGTTTTCCCATGGGGTCCCAGCCTCCTTTGGGCATCTGACTGCTCTGGTGTAGGGTCCTCCAAGGGGTGTAGGCAGGTATCTGCTCCACTGTGGACCTCCATGGGCTGCAGGGGGACAGCCTACCTCACTATGGGCTTCACCGTGGGCTGCAGGGGAATCTCTGCTCTGGCACCTGGAGCACCTCCTCCTTCACTGGCCTTGGTGTGTGCAGAGTTGTTTCTCTCCCATACTCTCACTCCTCTCTTCAGCTGGAATTGCTCTCATGCAATAACTTTTCCCCCTTAAATACATTATCACAGAGATGCTACCACCATCACTGATGGGCTTGGCTTTGGTCAGCAGCAGGGTCCATCTTGGAGCCAGCTGGCAGCGGCTCTGTTGAACATGGGGGAAGCTTCTAGCAGCTTCTCACAGAAGCCACCCCTGTAGCCCCCTGCTGCCAAAACCTTGCCATGCAAACCCAATACAGCTGGCTGGATGACCTGTCTGTGCTGGTTGTCAGTTTGGATGGGATACCCTTACTCTACAAGCTTGCTGTTTTATTTTAACAGGAAAAGCTTTCAAACGATATTGAGTACATTATCAGTAAGGAGAGCCAGGTGAAAGCTCACATCACACAGCTGGATCTGCTGCTGAAAGAAACAGAGGTAAGAGTGAGTGGATTGTGGGTTGTTTGGACACAGCAGGGACTCGAACTGTTTTCAGTGAAGTGTTTCAAATCTGTTGGGATTTTTTCAGTTAACTGCTAAAACAATTTCTGAACAGTTTGTGTTAGTCCTGAATCACACACGGAAAGACCTGATCCTGACAGTGTGGGAAATCTGGGCATCATAGAGGGAAGTTAAGTTTTAGGTGCTGCTGTAAGTTTAATTGAAATAAAGCTTATTTGATACCTTAACCAAAGAGAGGTGGATTAGACTTACAGCTCTTGTGTATTAATGGTGCTGCACAATTTACGTTGTGTGTTTACCTTGAGGGTGTTGCAGTGAAGTCAGAACTAAGGGCAAAATCTCCCTGCAGAAGAGTCAAAGCTGGGAGGTCACATACAAGCTGAAAAACACAATGACAGAGATTGCAGGAGCTCCTGGCCCTGCCTGTGCCTTGATACAGATTGTCTCTGTGCTTTCTAGTTTATTTTACCCAGTGCCCTAGTCAGGGGTGGCACTACAGTTCTGAGGGTGTACTTGAGAAACTGGACTGGACCCCCAGTTCAGGGTGATTGGGGAAGGTAGAAGAGCACCTAGGCATGAAGACTTCAGAGACTGACCTGCTTTTACAGTGCTTTTCCATGAGCTGTTTAGACAAATGTTGTGCATAGCTCAAGACATAATCAGAGGAATACTTTCCTGCTCTTTGTTCTCTGTATTTAGATAGTAAATGCTTACTAGCTTGTGTGCAGGGCTGATTGCATTTTCAGTGCCGAAGAGCACAACAAAGCTCATTAGTCTTGTCTGTCAAACGGATGACTAGATTGCTGTGGTGTCTTCAACAATCTTAAGTGTGTTTCTGTACACAGCCATAGTGCTGTAGAGTCTGTCTAAAATGTCTTTTGTTGCCTCTTAGTGCAACAGTGAAAGGGCTAAAGAAGAAGCATCTCAGAGTTTTGAGAAATTGTCTTGTGTCCTGGAAGAGAAGAAATATGCAGCTCTTAAGGCAATTGAAGCTTCTAAGAATTTAAGGCTGGAAAAATTGCAAATGCAAGTGGAAGAATATCAAGGGCTTCTGGAAAACAATGGCCTTGTAGGATATGCTCAAGAAGTGCTTAAAGAAACTGATCCGTCTTGTTTTGTTCAAACAGCAAAACAACTTCATGTCAGGTATCTTAATTATCTTCTGTTTGAGGTTACAGGTACTGTTCCAGGGTGTCTGGTCAGTCATACTGTTGACTAGCAAAGTACTGAGTGCCATACCTTGTATTGAAGAGGCTCAGGACATGGTCCTGGTACCATTCAGTAGAAATTACTACTTTACAGTGTGCATTGAGAAACAGCACACAGATGGGGCTCTGTCCTTTAACAACACCTAGCCTTGTTCAGTAGGACTGCAGTGGAAGGGTAGCCCATTCAGCTCACTGACACATTCCTTTGCTCAGAGATTGTATCAGGTATTTGCAAGTTAATCTCACAGGTCTTCTGGCTTTAAACTTTTGGATCTTAATAGTTGTTCTCCATTAGTGCTTCACACCAATTTTGTTCTTTGAATATAATGCCCCAGATTGTTAAAATGCTCTGCCAGCTGCATGATTACCTGTTCATTATCTTTACATTGATGTACAAAAGGCCTTTACATTTTGCATTTGAATTCTGTCTAGAGAGACAGAAATTTCTGGAGGCATCAGTAAGTACAAGTAAAATCTAGTACTTTTACTTGAAGCAATGCACACATTTGAATTACCTTTTCTCTCTTCTGCCGTCCCTCTGCTTCTGTGCTTTCAGAATCCAAAAAGCTACTGAATCTCTGAGGAGCTTCAGGCCAGCAGCTGAAACTACTTTTGAAGAGTTTGTTGTGGACATAGCAAAGCAAGAAGAGATCCTTGGTGACTTGTCCTTCCATTCCAATGGTAAATTGTGAGAACATCAAGTCTTTCTTGAGTTACGGCTTTAAGGGCATCTCTGGAAAAAGGCAAAACTTAGGCAGGACTGCAGTTTCTGAACTCAGTCTTGTGACTTGAATTGTCCCCTTTGTCTCCATGATCCACAAGGCATTACCTGGCAGCATTGCTAGCTTCAGCTTTGATAAAGCAGCTAAGATGCCATTTTATTCAATACAGGTTTAGATTGGCTTACAAAATATTGTAGTTAAGCAGTACTAGGTCTTCCTAGAAGCTTTTTGTTGCATGACAGAAAATAATAGTTTTTTTATGTTTTTTTTTAGCTGCCAGCAAAAATAAATACAACTTTAAAAGTAAAAACAGAAGGAAAGGGGTTTCTTTAAGTTCATGAACAGAACCCTCCCCATCTGCAGTCTTTTGACTGAGTGAGATTTGCTCTACACAGTGCTATAGCCACTCCACAAAGGGCTTGTAAAGTTAATTCTAAAACAACATGTATCTAAATTTGAGGTTTTTTTCTCCTGAATCTCTGGCATTCCAGGTCTAGAAATACCAGAAATCAATGAAGAGCAGAGCAGAATGTACAACGAAGCTCTGATCAGTTGGGAATGCCCTGGGAAGACAGACTCAGCTGATATCTATGTTCTTGAGTATCATAAGCTTAACAGAGAAGATGAGAGTGCGATGTGGCAGGAGATTGAAGTTTGCAACAAGAGCAAAGTAATAGCTGATCTTGATGATGACAGCAGCTATGCCTTCAGAGTTCGAGGACATAAAGGGTCCATCTGTAGCCCTTGGAGCCGAGAAGTTATTTTGCGTACACCCCCAGCTCCAGGTATTGGGTTTTCTTAATGTCCACAAAGTGCTGAATCTGTGTCTGTCAGTGTTAAGAGCTGTAGGTGGTTTCCAGTAGCTCCCAGGCTTCTGCTATACTGCTACCAGTTGCATAAATGTTTAGAAGCACTGTTAAAAAATGGATTAACTAGGCAACATACTGAGACTATTGGCTTGCATGACATACATGGTAGCCTTTAAAAGTGAGAAATTCTAATGCCAGTGTGACTTAATGTATTTTATAAGCACAGAAGACCAAACTAAGAAGAAATTTTTTTGGATACTGTTTTTCAGTTTTCAGTTTTCTTT